CTTTTAGGTTGGTTTGATCCATATTTGAAAGGATTTATAGTACATCTGCAGTCGCAGATTAATTAATTTAGCAAGTGCCAAGGTCCTTTCAGGTATGCCCTCCTGTGCCTTCTCCCTCCCCCCCCCCAAATGCTTCTTCACAGTGGGTAGTGGGGTCAAAAAATCTGTTTATGTGGGGTAGAGAATTTTTACTTTCATACCTACTGTTTTCAGGCTGGTAGATACCAGCATTGTTGAGAATTTTTTGTTTGGGGCTTTTTTCCCCCTGCTCTCTTTAAAACTTCTGACTTTATCTCCCCTATACCCCCTTACCTACATATCTGTTATGAGATGACCAAGGCTCTTTTCTTCCAAAAGATCAAGTGAAGGTAAAAAAAGTCTTGACGTACTGCTTTGTATCTGGAAATAGTGAGAATGCAGGAAAGAAACAGATAGTCTAATGCTCTTGAGCATTCAGTTGAGCCAGTATGCTATGAAAGAGTTAAATCACTGTTTTCTTAACTTGCAAATACAAGAATTTGGCCTCAGGCAATTAGTTGCTGTTTGAGAATGGTTTTGTTGTTATGCTGCCATCCTCTCTAGTGTTTCAAAAGATTTTTACATTAATATTATATCTGCCCTACAGGTTATTGTGACAAAAGGAACTTCACAGTCTTAGACAAAAATCTTTCAGTGGGTTTTCTCTTTTTTTTTTTTTAATCCTTCCTCTTCTGTAGGGAGAGGCTTAATCAAGTTATACCTAGCCTATGTGTCTCTAACAAGTATGTTAACTATGTATCTTCAAAGGTAATCTTGAATAACATGCAGCTAGCTAATAAAAGCAAAAAATGTTCTTTCTTTAATGGGCAAGTTCAGAGAACTAATTTGTATCTGAATGCCCTGCAGATAATCTTTTCCCTGAGCTCCAGGAGAGCCTCTTCTCTTCTGACCAAAGACCTAGCTGAATTTCTCTTGGACTCTTCATCTCTCTCATCTGCAGAGTCCAACAGGTGCAACTGCCTCCATCCGTATGAATTTCAGCTGTAGCTTGTCTCCACTGTTCTAAGCAGCAATGAGAAATTTGATCCTAAATTTGTGGTGTCATTTTGCACTGATCTTGTGGAACCAGAAGTGCCAAGCTCAGTGTTAAATCAAGAATTTGACTTGCACAAATGAATGGTCTTTTCTAAATACCCTCAGGCTACGGTGTGCTTTAATTTATAAGAGTGTGAGCGCCAGATTTTAATAGAAAGGTCATTATTAATACGTTACTCTTGGTTTTGGCCAGAGTTATTTTATCTCTGTAAAATACATACTATAAAAATACTTTGGTGGAAAAATGAGACGTTACTAGTTTGGAGTACTTAACTAAACATTTTTGTCAAACTAGTGACAACACCGATCTTTAGCTTTTCTCAGCAATGCAATTAAGCAACGCACATTTGGTAAAATAACTATTGTTTCTAATTTAGCTACTGGGAAGTGATTTTCTTTGATATTTGATCTGAGGCAAGTTTTCTACTGTTGTCGTCCTGATGGACTCACAGGGTCCTCGTTCAAAGGAGCTGAATTTGTTCTTAGAAAGAAGTGGGACAACTGGTTTTCATCTTCTCGGTATTTGTTCCTTTGATACCGGACTTAAATGGCTCAACTTTCATTGTATTAATATTCTAAATAAGGAAGAACCTTTATGCAAGTGTTAGTTTTACATTGCTCAATTATTACTATTTCTGTTCAGGAATTATTGTTTGAGCCTGAGGTTTTTTTGCACTAGCTTTCAGTTGTATTTGGACTGTTGTAGGAAAATTCCCTTCTCTTGCCTCCAGTGCAGAGAAACCTACTATCAGAGTGTGTCAAAAGCGACACAAAATTCAAGTAAAATGAATTCTTGGTCTCAGAAGGTTGACTTGAGCACACTAAAAGTGGAGAAGGAGTCACACCAATCATACCTTTTATGTCTGGGTACTTGGTAGATTTGATAAACTGTGATCTGTTTCATCAATTAAAAAAAAAAAATTGGTAAAACTGTTAAGCATCAAGAAATCAAACTAGTGTGTTAAGAGGAAAAACAAAAGTTTTTGACAAATTAAGCCGTATGTGTTGTGATATCTTCAAAGTGAGTATCGTGCACGTAGTAGAATACTTTTAACTAGCTTATGTTCAGGTTACATGGATTCATTGACCTAGTTCAGTTTCAGCAATGCTGTGACAAGTGATGTTAAAACCACACAAGCTCATGGGTAGTTCTTTCTCTGGCTAGGAGTTACTGAATATATTATGTGATTTGGTCACCATAGATTTTTCTTACATGTGTCAATGCTGTCCAAGTCATTGGTGTGTGCTAGGATCATCACTGCTGTGTTCATAACTAGGGCTTTCCGGTGTTTTCAGAGCTGGGGTGGTATTCCACAGAATTTCACAAAACTGATAAAATCCTCTGTGAACAGAAATACTTCTTTTAAATAACCTAGAATATTCACCACATTTTTTCATTAGACTGATGATTTTCGGTCTTTGATCTCATCTAGCTGTAGAAGAAAGACCTTGAGTGTCAAGAATTCATTTTCAAACTTTGTGCAAGACTGCTTTGTACCTTTGGTGGAGGAAAATAGTTACAGGTTTTTCCTCTCATTCTCTTCTGACTGCAGCAAGACAGAATATGTTTCTCCAGTCTGTGTAGTAGGGGTGTTTCAAATTTAGAGAAGGGTAGAGACCCTGGCTTAAGGTTGGTCTTGCTCACAACTTTGATTATTTCTTGATCTTTGCATCTTCTAAAATGTTTCTGTAAGCAGGAGACTATTTTGGAGTCTACGTTCCTTCTGCTGTCACTGAAATACCTGCTTTCTCTTGCCTTTTTAGATCTCCAAGTTTGACTTGAGCTGTTAAGCTGTAATTCTGTGGGAATAAATCTGAGTGTCTCATAATTTCAATTTTAGATGTTTTAGGGAATGCAAAACATAGATTGCATATTCATGTAGTCTGAGTAATAATATTATGCTTAATTGGGGAAATACTTACAAGCATTCCCTGGGCATTTACAGGAAGTCTGTCTCATGTTTGTCTTTTCAAAGAAATACAAAAGTACTTGTTTAAAGATCTTAATTTTAGAGCTCAATATTGGTTGCATCAAATGCGATTAGAGATTTCTTAATACTGTATTGCTAATTCACAGCTATTCTTCTACTCCAGTGTTACTCAACTATTTACATTTTGGTTTGAAACTCTGAGTTCTCTCTATCTGCTGTGATTTTCAAATCCCTACTCAAAAAAAAAAAAATCAGAGTTCCAGATTCACAGCAGAGTATTATATTACTTTGGGTCTGTGGTATTAGTTACATTAACAATGCATATTAATTACTGAAGAAGTTGAAGTGCGATAAAAAGTTACCATTTCACTGATGCAAAATCAGTAAAATACTTGGGTCTTTGTCATCAGTGCTTTTTGAAATGAAACTTCTGTGTCAGCAGCGTTGGAAGCTGGCATTAATTCTTGTGGATTTGAGGCCTGATTTAACCATAGCTAAACAGCACTACAGTGCTGGTTTTGCTGTGTGGGTAGGGCGTAAAGGCTTTTAAAAGCCTTCAAGGACTTTTCTAGTCTTCTGAAGTTAGAAAATGATTATTGTCATAGTATGGAGGGAAGACTCCTGTAGGGCACCTAAAATGCTAGTTGCAATCATGTATTCCTTAAATCCAGATGACTTACCTTCCAATGACTAGCTAATGTGTTTGACCAAGCCACTCAGCTATCCTGTAATTAGTTTTCTCTGGTGGAAAATAATCTCATGTTCCTTGAAAAGGAACTCCTAAAGGCTTATGAAGTGCTCAGATGCCCCAACAGACATGCATGTATTTTATCACAGCTATAGGCAGTGTTACAGCTGGAGTCATTCAGAGCTGTTGCTTCTTTCCGTTCTTCAGGATATGATGCAATATGCAGTAGCATGCAATTGGAATTATTTCAATAAATTAATAATTCAGGTTAGTGTATTAGTTTGTGATGATATATAATTTCAGATGATATTCCTCAGCAAAGCTTTTGACACTTTTTCCTACAGTATCCTTGTGTCTTAGCTTGGCTGTTACGGTTTGGATAGGTGGGCAGCTAGGTGGGTAAAAGAACCATTTGGATGGTTGGCCTCAGAGGGTTGTGGTTAATGGGTCATACCCTACCTGGTGGCCAGCAGGTAACAAGTGGAGTCTGCAGGGGTCTGTCCTGGACCTGTCCTGTTTAACAACATCATCCATCTAACCTGAAGCAGGCAACACAATACGCTCTCAAGTTTGCAGATGACAGCAGACCAGGGGGCCCAGTTGCTATGCTGGAGGGTAGAGCTACCAACCAGGGGTACCTGGGCAGGCTGGAGGGATGGGCCTGCAGGAACCTCACAAAATTAAGCAAGGACAAATGCCAAGTCCTGCACCTGGGCGAAAGAAGAGCCCCTGGCAGGGACGCAGGCTGGGGGCAGAGGGACTGCGGGGAGCAGCTCTGCGGGAAAGGCCCTAGGGGTGCTGGCAGAGAGCCAGGTGCCAAGAGAGGTTGTGCCATCTCCATCCTTGGAGGTTTTCAAGACTGGACTAGGCAAAACCCTGCGCAACCTAGTCTGACCTCATGGCTGAGCCTGCTTTGAGCCAGAGGTTGGACTTAAAGACTACCTGAGGTCCCCTTCAACCTGAAATACCTTATCATGTGATTTTATGACTACTTATCTATTCAATTTCAGATTTTATTTTGAATTTGAAATTTGCCTTTGTAATTTAATTTGCATGTCTAAAATGATACATGCTCAGTCTGTTCTATCACGAATTCAACTAACGCTTACTCTGTGTGCACGCGCGTGTGTTTTAGTATTCCATTTCAAAAAAAAAAAAAAATTTGGGCCTTTACCAAGCTTGCATTTAAAAAATCATTGTTATATCACAAGTGTTATTTGCATCTCTGCGCTTATTACTAGTTTCTTTTGTGCTTATTTCTTGTGTAAACTTGCCACATGATTAATACCTTTTTTTTGTTTCAACAGAGGGAGAATATATCAAGATGTTCATGCGAGGTCGACCAATCACAATGTTCATTCCTTCTGATGTAGAAAACTATGATGATATTAGGACAGAGCTGCCTCCTGAAAAGTTAAAACTGGAGTGGGTGTATCCTTGATATCAGTAGCTACTTGCTGTTCCCTTTTTGTCTTGTCTTGCTTTGTTTTTTTCCTTTAGAATCTGGTCTTGTGTCTTCTCTGTTCAGAAAAAAAGTTCAATTTACTCTAACAATTGAAATGGTTTGTAGCTACTGTATAGTATGACTTTAAGCTGCAAAATATGTAGGCACAGAAAAGCCATACTTTTCTTTGTTTGTTTTGCTGCTGAAACTAGTTGCATCTATTTTTAGTGTGAAAGAAAGCGTCTTTGGAGAGTTACAGAGTTTCAAAAATGTCCCGCTCTGTCCCCCGTATATTAATGTAGGCTTTGCATTCAGGAACATTGTTAGTCTTCAATCTCTGTTCATTTTTAGGAGGTTTTAGAGCTATGGAAGATCTTGACTTCCTTGTCCTTACCTACAGAGCAAGGATTGCAGGAGCAGCCATCCTTTGCACTGCTTCTGTGTTTCAGCTCCAAAGTGAAGGGGTTAATTTCTTGAAGACCAGTTTCCATTAAACGCACTAAATAAATTTATCATTTGAAGAATGGAGTTGGTGTGTGGCTGACGACAATTCTCCAGGCTTAGTAGATCAGACGTTAAGTTCATTATAAGAGAGGTGCTTTTGCACACGTTTGGGTCTTCCTGTCAGCCCCCCATCTCTGCAGATTCTTCCAGTAAGCTGTGATTGTATAAGTAAGTTTCTTAGTACTTCAGTAAAATAACATGTCTAGGCAGCACTTGAGTTGGTGTAATAACGTCAAGTTTGATCCTTCTGATGTTGCTGAAAGCAGGAAGATTTTTAGGAATGTTGATGATACACTGTCATATATCGGGATATGTACAGGCAGAGGCTGCCCGTACTTCTCTCAGCATATCTGTTAGTAACTAAGGCATACATGTATTTTAAGCCACCCTTTGTTACTTGCTTTAGGAAAGAAGATTTCTCTATTTTTCCTGCCTTTATTAACTAATAGATGTTTGAAACAGATAATGTTGGGTTCTTGGTTATGAAGAGCAGCTGTGGAGCTCATGTCCTCTGAACTTTTCAGTGAGACTGTGGAAACTTAGACCATAAAGGAGGAAAGTTTTGCATTAAAAGTCTGACTGGAAGGAAGACAGAGCTCTTATTCATGCTTTGCAAAGCTGTGGTGCCCACCTTTCCTACTGTCACAGCTCTTGGGTGCTGACGCTGGCACTCATATGACTGTGGAGTGAATTGGGTCAGTCACTGATCTGGCTGAAATGTAATCTTTTTTTTTTGCGGAGTTAACTTTCAGCAGGATCAACTCATTAATTTGATTTGCCCCACAAACATGCGAGGGCTGGAACTGGCATACTGGAGGAAGATCAGATCTACTTTTTCAGCAGCAGTGAGCAGTTTGGACTGATGAAAACTGATCATGAAATCACACCCTCAGTTAAGTAGGTGCAAATCCCAGTGTGGACACACTTATTTAATGTCCAAGGACCTTAAGTTCAGGTTAAACCAGTTTCCTGCTGAGGGCTAATTAAAGTGAAATAAATCTAGTCTAAACAGACTGTTCATATGTTTTTGGAATCTGTTTAAGGAAATGTCATCCTAAATCAGACCAGTATATTTATCAGTGTAGGGTATCTTTTGGATACGATGGTGAAGAAAACAATGAGAAAAGGCAGTAAAATTTATGAGGGCTTAATATCGGTCTCTATGAAGTTGCACAAAATTGCTCTTCAGTTTTGGAGACGGGAAGATACAGCAGCAGCAGATCTTGTACTTCATGCACAGGTTTAGCAAGGGGACGAAATCTGCAAGCCAGCCGTAACTTCCAAATATGATGGCAAACTGAAGCCTGTACACCTTATTAAAAAGGCATGGGGACAGTGGTTCACAGAATATTTTAGTAATGTCAGTGTTTTACAACTGAAAGGTCAATTGAGTATTGAATTGTTCAATCTGTAAGTTTCGTTTTGAACACCTTTAATTCTCCTGCCTTCTGGATGACTGTTTATAATTGGGCTTTCCTTCGATACTACTTTTTTTGAAGATGCTGATCAACTATGAACAACTTTAAAGCAAGAACAGAAGGGTTCTTGGGGTGGGTTTTTTGTTTGGGGTTGTTTTGGGTTTTTTTCTCTTCTGTTTGGTTGGTTGGTTTGGGAGAGGGGTGTCCTTTTTAGATGAACTGTGTCCTGCAGGTATATTCAACTGCTGATTCAGGTATATTCAACTGCTGTATATTCAACTGCTGATACGCAGTACTGTAGACTCAACAGAACACACTTAGCTTTTGTCTGCCCTGCAGATTACTGTCAACTGAAGAAATACCTAAGCTGCTTGGCAAGATGAAGTAGCTTGTGGGGAAGTCTGAGCTCTTGACTGTGTCTGGTTCCTGAGTGATTTCATTTAAATTTAATAATTTTATTTGGGTATCCCTGCTTTGTAGTGCAATCTTTCCTACTGCACTTCAGAACTGGTTAAAGCATATCTGGCATTCCTAGTAATAGCGAAATGGGCTTATTTAGCAGCTACAGAGGTCACAGTCAGTGCTGCTGTTGACAGGCAATGACTTCATAGACTCTTTCTCCCAATGTATAGTAGCTCAGTTTCTGGAGGGTATTTCTGACTCCGTTTTATAAGATTATTTTTAGCACTGGTGCTCTTCCTTCTATGAATAATTGAAGTCAGCAGTAAATATACTATTGAATTCCGGTGTACAGTGAATCAATTTTCGTGAGGGCCATGGCTATTCTTAGCCAATAAAAAACAAAAAAACCCCCAAAACTAAAAGCTGTTAAGCATAACAAATGTTGTGACAAAACAGTCCTTGTAATTGGTGAGAAACATTCACAATAAGACGACAACTATCTGAATTTTCCTTGTTGAAACATCAGTCTCATTGAAAGATTAACATTGAAATTTAGTGGAAATTAAACATCAAAGTTGTGGCACCCCTTTTTCTGTGGAGACAATCAATTATTCTATTAACATATCTGCCGCTTTGTTCTGAGTGTGTGGAGAAGGAAAGAACTGCTGTGGAGCAACAACCCCTTTCGTTTTCTCTCAAGATAGTCTGGGATGGAGAATGAAGGAAGCAAAAAATTTCTTCCACAAAACAGGTTGTCCCTTTACATGCTCCTAAAAACACACTCCTAAAATATGCAGCCACTCTTTGGTACTTTATTATGTAGGAGGGGTAAAGGAAAGGAATGGACTGAGAAAACGTAACCGTTTTTTGCAGCCTCGTGAATGCCAGAGCTCAGTGGTGGGTGCCAAAATATTTAGCCTTAGCTTTGCATGGTTGACTTCTGCTGTGGAAAGGCACGTTTGCGTAAATCATTAATATTTTTCTAGGATGAATGTTCAAAGAGGTCAATCTTAATAAATCCTTATCAATACAGTCCCTATTGTATATAGCAGATTAACAAGATCTGCCTTTCTCCTCTGAGAAGGTATTTAGAATAGTGTTCTTCATGCTTCAGGATAGAAAAAATATTTTCATTGGTTTGTAGCCCATCGTTTTTGAAAGTTCAGTGGTCTGGTGGTTTTGGTTTGGTTTGTTTTTTTTATAAAAGGCCATTCTGGAGCTTCTTTTTGTTCCATCAGTGTTTAAAAGAGAAGAAAGAGGAAAATTTAGTGGGAAAATAAATAGTGATGGAGGAGAAACAGAGGCATCCTTTTTTTTCCCTGCCCTCAGCATTGTGTTGTATCAGCATTTCTCTCAATATCATTTGCTAAGCAAGCCAGTGAATAATCTCTGCTTCAGAGGAGCCATTGTGTTCTTCTGTAATAAACAAAAGACAGCAAGATATAAATCTGTTTTGTTTTCCATACTCTTAAGAGATTTAACTGACAACTGAACGCAGTGTCCCTCTTTGAACCATTATTTAGTTACAGCATGTGTTTAATTTTGCAAGTGTTCCTTTGGCATAGCAGTCCTGTGGTTCGATGGGACTGCAAAAGAGGAAAGGTAGTGTGGTGGGGGATGTTTTGGGGTGAGGGGTGGCATTGGAAGGGGTGCGGTGGTATTTTTGGTAGAAAGGTAGCCCTTTTCCAAGAAGAATAGAGGCCAGGCTGTCAGCTTAGGAGATGTCAGTTTAGATACTCCCAAACTTGGGCTACTGCACCTGCTTTCATTTATGAGAAAGGGCCAGCTTCATCCGTCCAGCTTTCTCCATGTGGGTCTTTGACTTCCTTTTATTTACCTGATTAACCAGGACCTAAGGCTGGAATCCTTTAGCTAAAGTTGCTTAATGTATTGCCCATATTTTCCTTGCCGTTGTAGGTGTATTAGTTGGCACTGAAGTGGGGAGCTCTCTGAAATGCAGGACATAACAGGAAAATTGTATTTTTTGAGGCTACAGAGCTACTGTTAAAGTCTGAATTTTGATGTTAACTGTACATAGTGACCCTGGGAACTGAAATACAGGCAGACAGCCACATTAGTAGTCTAGGTGAAGAAAATTGCACCAGGTTCAAAGAAATAACAAGTTATTTTCCTACAAAAATCATCCCTGTATTTTTGGGTAGATTTGGATAGAACCTTTTTCACTGTGTCAGTTCCTTTTGAGTTTTGCTTGCTTTCAAAAATACTCTAGAACAGTCTAAAGAAATTTTTCCTGATCTTGGCAGCTGCGCTGCAGAAGCTTGCCTTTTTCTGAAGGGCATTAGAAATTTTCACACGCTTGTTTTAAAAGGCCAAATACTCTGGTGCTCGCGGTGCAGATGCACAGCTCTGTTGCTGTAAAAAATGTTAAGCCAGTACAGTGAGTCCCGCTGTTACCTAATGAAACTTCACATGGAGGTTGTTATAAAATGACAACACTGTATTTGTTTTAGTTCAGTGTGCCTTATATATTTTATTTTTAACGTCAATGAGCATCACTTTTAAAGGGATTTAGTTTCCTGAGGTCCAATTATATGGGGTTTGGTTTTTTGTTTTTGTTTTTTTTTTTTTTTAAACGGTGTTACTGAAATTGTGCTGTAGTTCCAGAGGAAAAACATGAAGGGCACTTGCTGACATGAGAGCTCCCCAGGAATCCTTTAAGGAAAAAAAAAAAAGCGGGGGGGGGG